GCTTGTACTTTAGGTCGAACTGGCTTAATTCCATTGCCCATTTGAACAGTTTACCCGAGGCTTTCGGCTTCTAGAGGACCTGCCTGAGGGGGTAATTAGTCATTACATGGATTGTATGGGCGTGGAAGTAAGGTCGTAGTTTTCTGAAAGTGATTAGCAGAGCATAAGCTAATCGTTCCATTTCAGGATACCGCATCTCGGCATCCGACAGACACTTGCTCGCATAGTAGACAGGCCATTGAACTTTTTCTTCTTCTCGAACTAGGGCTGCATTGACTGCAAACTACGAAACGGACAGGTATAGGGGCAAAGTCTCTTGTGGGAGAGGCTTAGAGAGGAGATGTGGCTTCCCGAGGTGTTCTTTTATACTTTGGAACACTTGTTCACATTCGGGAGTCCATTCGAACTTCTTGTTGGCCTTTAGAACATTGAAAAACGGCAAACAACGATTTGTTAGCCTCGATATGAAGCTGTTTAGTGCTGCTATTCATCCATTTAGGCTCATGACTTGCTTTTTGCTGGTCGGGCTCTCCATATCGAGCAGGGCTTGAATCTTCTCGGGGTTTATTTCTATCCCTCGCTAATTAACCATGTATCCCAGGAACTTTCCTGATGACACCCCGAATGAACACTTGAGAGGATTCAGTTTCATTCTGTAGAGCCGGAGGATGTCAAACATCTTAGCGAGATGTTCAATGTGTTCTGAGGCGACCTGGGATTTGACCAGCATGTCGTCCACATAGACCTCCATTGTTCTTCCGATCTGGTCAGAGAACATTCGGTTAACCAGCCGCTGGTAGGTTGCGCCAGCGTTCTTGAGGCCGAAAGGCATAACTTTGTAACAGTACAGCCCCCGGTCTGTAATGAAGGACGTGTGTTCCTCGTTTGGGCCATACATAGGGATCTGATTGTATCCCAAGTATGCATCCATGAAACTTAGCAGCTCGTGCCCCGAGTTGGCATCCACGAGCTGGTTGATTCTCGACAGAGGGAAGCTGTCTTTCGGGCAGACCTTGTTGAGGTCGCTAAAATCAACGCAGGTCCACCATTTTCTGTTTGGCTTCTTTACCAGGACCGGGTTGACAACTCACATCGGGTAGAGTGCCTCTCGGATGGATCCATTTCAGAGGAGGTTTTCCACTTCTGATTTTAATGTGGTATACTGCTCCGGATCCATTGCTCTTCTTTTTTGGCGAACTAGCTTGGCCTCGCTGTCGATATTTAACGCATGGCAAATAATGTCCGGGCTGATCCCGACCATATCTGCATGCGACCAGACAAACACGTTGACGTTTTTCCTAAGGAAACCTGTCAGTTCGTTAGCGAGTTGGGGATTGAGATTTTTACCTACTCTTAACACCCTGCTTGGCTCTTTCTGGTCAACCTGGACTTTAGTCAGGTCCTCAACTGGCCCACTGGAGGGGCAGTCTTGAATGTGAGGGTCTAGGTTGTCCTCAACCGAGCCAGGTCGTGGATCGATCCTGTTGATCGCCATGGCCTGGCGAGGTGCATTTTGTGGAATGCCCTTTCCTTTGTGCGCCATCTGGACTGCTTTTACATAGCAGTCACGTGATACGCGCTGAGAGCCGCTGACTTCCTCGATCCCCGTCGGGGTGGGGAACTTTATTTTCAGATGGTAAATTGAAGTGACCGCCTTGAACTATCTTAGTAGAGGTTGCCCAAGGATCCCATTAAAGGCTGACGGGCAATCCACCACTAAGAATTCAATCATTCTAGTCACTTCGTCAAAATCACCCAGCGTGACTGGGAGTGAGATTGTTCCTTTGGGGAGTAGATGGTCTCTTGTGAATCCGTACAGCGGGAACGAGGCAGGCTTCAGGTTGGCCTCGTCTAGATTCATCCTTTCGAAGGTGGATGTGAACAGGATGTTCACAGCACTCCCGTTATCCACCAGCATTCTCTAGGTGTTATAGCGCCCTATCAGGGGAGTGATTACAAGGGCGTCGTCGTGGGGATGGTGTAACCTGGACGCGTCCCGCTCGGAGAAGGAAATCTCTTCCTCTCGGTGAACCTTTTGTTGTCGTCGATCCGCACTCATCACTCTAATGGGGTCGTGATGAGCTTTACGAGCATACCTTTCTTGGGCACCTCGTGAATTTCCAGCGAAGTGCGGTCCCTCGAAAATCAAGGTGAGACCGAGCACCCCTTTTTGATCGCGACGCTTCTTACTTGGCTCCCCCCGATCTTTTTCTTTCGAGGGAGCAGAGTCATCGATGCATTCCTTGAAGTGTCCCTTCTTGATAAGTTCTTTGATTGCTTGTTTCAGGGCTCGGCACTCGTTAGTATGGTGCCCATTGTCCCAATAATAGCGATAGTACTTTTTATTATTTCTAGCTGTCGCAGGGGTTCTCATGGGTTCGGGTTCTCCAAGCAGACTGGCTTCTTTGGATTTATCAAGAATGGCAGATACAGAGGTGTTCAGTGGAGTATATTAGGGCCTGTCGCGGTCAGGACGAGGAACCGAGGCATAGGATTTTTTGTGCTCGTAGCGGGGTTTCTTTCCTTTTCGCTGATCGTTAATGTCTCCTTTGCGATCAGCTCTTCTACTTTCTCCCCGACCAGACATACTACCCAAAGATCTGTGATCGCGACGTCGTAGTGCCGCCAATGAATTTTCTATGCGGAGGTACTTTTTTGCGAGGTTATAGAATCTGGTGAGGGAAACATCATCCTCAGCCTGTAATTCTTTCCACAGGTCGGTTTGCGGGCGAACTCCGGCTATTATGAGAGTTCGGATTGACTCTTCGGGGGCGTGAGCCACCTTGTTGAGTTCCCTATGGAAATGGTCGATGTAAGATTGTAGGGACTCGTCCCTTTCTTGCCTTATATTGCTGAGATAGCTCAAAGGCATTGAGAATTTCTGATTTGCTTGGAAATGTTGTAGGAACGTCGTACTCATCTGAGGCCACGAACTGATTGTTCCTGCTGGGAGCGACCTTAACCACCGCTTGGCATGAGAGGTTAGAGTCACAGCCAGGCAACATCATTTTGCAAGATCCGAAACGTGGTAGAGCTCCATCAGGTCATTCAACTCATACAAATGATCCTGCGGGTCATGGTTCCCATCGAACGGCCGCATGTCAGGCATTCTAAAATCTGGTGGGAGTGCAGCAGCTAACACTTCGGGAGAAAAGGGGGATGCAGAGGCGACTTGGGTCTGCTCGTTCTGCTGCTCTCTCAGCCTGTCCAGAGCTAGCTGCAACTCCTCAATTTGCGGTAACGGAGCCAGTTGGGGATTGCTTTCACCCATGCGAGTCCGACCCTCGCGATTACGATTCAGGAGAGTCCGGAGGTCAGACTCCTCTTCGCCTCGATCGGTATTTCTGGCCGCTCTCGACACACGCTGGCTAGAGGAGTGTGAAGGCGATGGATGGTGCGGGGTATTTTCATGACCCTCGTGGTGGTACGAACCACCCCGCGAGGTGTAAGGACCATCCTCACGATAGCGATCAGGATCGTTCTGTTGGCGGTGATAAGAATCGCCTCGCCCAGCACTTTTGCTTGGGTTCACCTGCGACATGGCATGGGACAGCTCGGGATTTATTTTTTCGTCGACTCTTAGTTTTCTCGGCACCCTGCTCGGGGCACGGTTTGTGTTCGCTGGCCCTTTGGAGCCCGTAGGCTTGCTTTTTGTCACTTGCTTACCCTTACGTCTACGCTCTACAGCGCTCGCGGCACGGGCTATTTCCCTTTGCCGCGCTTTCGCGTGGCCTGCAGGCGTTTTTTGCGGTTGCACCGCCTTAACTGTTTTAGATGGCATGCCTTGGTCCAGACGGTCTAACCTTTGGTTGACCGTCTGGAGAGTATTGTCGAACCTCTCTAGGTAGCCTCTGATGGTGGGGTCAAGCTGTGAAGTTGCTAGGATATCCACCGCAACAATTTGTAGGGCTGGAAGTATTCTGGAAGAGGTATCCCCTTGGGTCTGGGGAACTCCCTCAGCGCGCTGGTTGGCTTGTTCAGGTTCAGATTGGCGGGCCATCTGTTACTGTAGGACCAGTAGTAAAGATTCTCCTAATGAAGGATGAACACTAAATCTGGGCCTTCCTTCTAGCGCCAAACTGTTGATGCGTGATTTTTGGCACCAACTAATCGACACGTGTGTGACGTTGATTGGTCAAGAGACACATGTGATTATGGGTAGAATGTAGAGTAAATGCAATGAGAGCCTTTTAAAGTGGTTCGGATACTAAGGTAGCAAGTCCTGCGTCCACTGATTTGTATTAATATAGTGGGTCAGGTCGCAACAGCGGACTGACTTACAAATGATTGGTAAAAAATAAATACAAAGTTATCAGAGAGAGAGAGAGAGAGAGCTAATTCCAAGTGTAAAATAGCCGAATCCCCTTAATGAAGGGGTCTTCCTCTTTTTATAGTGAGGTGAGTGCAAGTAATCATCATTAAATCCATGGGTTGGTGTGAATGTCAGGATTAAATCCGGCTTTATGTCACATTTCCCACCTTCCAAACTGATTTCACGCGATTTGGAGCAGGGAGATGGGCACGTGGGAGCTCCGTAGCTATTGGCAGGCCTGACGTATGCTTAACATTCTGACAGGAGCAAGTACCCCCCCCCCCCCCCCCCAAATCACGTGATTTCCTACGTCAGCCCTTGATTTCCCAGGCGTAACAGGCATCTAAAGTGCTTTTTGAAAAAATGAATTACTTGTATATTCGAAAGACCATTGGTTTTATGATTAAAAAGAATTTATATTTTTGCAAAAAATAAAAAAATGATAAAAATTTAGAGGTCTATAAATTAAAAAAAAAAAAAAAAGGATTAAAGTAATTTTCGGAGAAGCATTCAGTGAGTATTTTTACGAAACTGTTTAGGAGTAAATTATTTTGTACTTAAAGAAAAAGCATTTTTGCCAGAACACTCCTTCAAATTGCGATTTTTAAGGGGTAAAGAAAAAAAAAAAAGCTTTTTAAGAAACATTCAGTAAGTGCTTTTCCACAAGCACTTTTATGTGCTTATTTACCTTGAAAATTCTTTCAACAATCTCGTAGTAATAACCAGTTTTGGCCCAACCTCCAGTATACAACACGCCATTCACCAACTTCAGCTTCTGCAACAAGCATCAAAACAAACTTTACCTTAACAACAACAACGACGCCAACAAAAAAATAGGGTTTAATCAATAAACCACTAAATCATTCACCTCAAATAAAATTTCTTCAGGTTCGTTATAAATTAGAGGAATCACACGAGCGCCAGCCGATTCAACTAACTTCACATACGAGGCCGCAATATACGACGCGTTCGTTGCATTATTCAACCTACCGGAAGCGCCGTCACCAGGATACCTTGACCTATAATTTAGCATTTGGTTTACTTGGACTTGAACTATAATTATTTTGAAAAAATTTAGGTTCCTAGATTTCTTGGTTCAATGGGGAATATAAGATACCTTGACCTTTCTAAAGCCGGATTTAGGGGAAGTGTTCCTTACGACCTTGGAAATCTCCCTAATCTGCAATATCTTTACCTTGGTATTAATCCTTGCATGTTGAGAATTTGGGGTGGTTATCTGGTCTTTCTTTTCTGAAGCGCCTTGATTTGAGCTATATTGAGCTCCACAGAGCCTTTGATTGGCTATCAGTGATAAACGCACTTCCTTCTTTGATGGAGTTAAAATTATCTTATTGTAACCTTTCTCAACTTACCCCAGTGCCCCTTGCAAACTTGTCATCTCTTACCACACTTGATCTTTTATTTAGCAATTTTCCTTACATTTTGATATCTGGTTGGGTTTCTGGTCTTTGTAATTTAGTCTTTCTTGATTTAAGTGATAATCAACTCGAAGGTTCACTTCCTCATGAACTTCAAAATTTGACATCCCTTAAACATCTTGATTTGTCTCTCAACCTATTCAATTCTTCAATACCGGACTGGTTGTATAGAAATAGTCATCTCGAGTTTCTTTCTCTTAGGGGAAATAACTTGGAAGGTACAATTTCAAGTGCTTTAGGAAGCTTGACTTCTCTCACAAGCCTTGATCTTTCCTACAATAAACTTGAAGGAAACATAAGCAGGTCATGGGAGAGACTTTGCAATTTGAATTCAATTTTTTTGTATGATGTCAAATTGAGTCAAGAGATACATGAAGTCTTAAACATTTTCTCAGGATGCGTTTCAAGGGTTTTGGAATATCTGGATTTAGAGAATACAAATCTTTTTGGTCATTTGACTGAACAACTTGGGCAATTTAAAAATCTAAAATATCTTGATCTCAATAACAACTCTCTTTCTGGATCTGTTCCCGTGAGTATTGGAGAACTTTCGTTTCTGAGATTTTTAGATCTTTCAAATAACAAGTTGGAAGGAGTACTCTCTGAAATTCATTTCGCCAATTTGACAAGACTCTTATCTTTTCGCATCTTTGGTAACTCATTGATGTTGAAAGTCAGTACTGATTGGATTCCTCCATTTCAGATTGAATATCTAGGGTTAGGATATTGTCATTTAGGGCCTTCATTTCCATTATGGCTTCATTCACAGAAGCATCTAATTTTTTTGGACATATCCAACTGAGGAATTGTGGATAAACTTCCGAATTGGTTTTGGAGATCTCATTTTCAAATACCTAGTTTAAATCTCTCTCATAACAAAATCTATGGAGAGATTCCAAATTTAACTGCGGCTAATCGAGTTACTTTTGTTGACATGAGTTCAAATAATTTCTCAGGTTCATTACCTATTGTATCCTCTAACATACTTCTGCTAGACCTTTCCCACAATGCTTTGTCAGGTTCCATTTTTCATTTTTTGTGTCATGAAAGAAAAGATTCAAAGGGAATGACTGTTAGGGCCAAAAATCGTCCTTGGCCCAAATAGAAAAATGCGCCTGACAGTGAAGGAGAAGCCAAGCCCAATCCCGATGCGACCCGATCCGGATTAGGCCCATTTGATACAAGATACAGTCGGCCCAAACCACCTGGGCACGAGCCTCCTAATCCCAATCCATTCTCTAGGTCCATGGACGAGTCCAGAGCCCACGGCCCCCTCAGAATATTTTCCTATTCCTGAACAATCTCCTATTCGAGGTCACCTTCCTATTCAGAACACTTTCCTACTCAAAGTTACTTTCCTAATCAAGATCACCTTCCTATCCGGACACTGGTAAGACAGCTTACCACAACCCTAATTCTTTTAGGGTTTGCATCAGAGTCACACTAGGACTCCAACTCCCACCAGGATTAGGAGACCAGACAGTCACTATATAAACAGAGGCTAGCCCTCTCACAAGGGACACATTACATTACACCTTCACACCTGAAGCTCCTACTTGAGAGCTTCACATCACTGCCTTAGTCACAGTCTCCGACTAGACTTCCGGTAACCTCTCTACTCCCTAGCCCTCACTATACTAGCCTCTTTCAGCCTTGCTAACTTGAGCGTCGGAGTGCCTACGGCAAACACCACCCTGATGTTTCCCGTTCGCTTCACGCATTTGTTTCTCTACGTGTGCAGGTGCAGCGGATTGCGAGTGGCCTCAACCTCATGGGATCAAACCCCTATTCCGTACAGGTAGATTTTTACGTCTATAGTTTAGCGCCCACCGTGGGGCCTCTAGCGATCATTCGGCTTGATAAACCTTGCTACGTAGAGGAACTTTCCGTGGCTGACAACTCCGACAACGCTAATCCCAGCCTCGAGGCCAAACTAGAGGCTCTGACCGCTCTCATGCAACAGAACTTGGACAAGGTAGCCGCACTGGAAGTCGAGAACAATACAATCCGGACCGAAAACGCATCCATCAGGGCAGAAAACTAGTCTCTAAGGAGAAGGTGAGTCAATTCTATGATCTAGAGTTCCTGCCTGGCCAGGCACCCCCCAATCGATTCCGCGCCCCTGTTCCATCCATGCAACCTTTCCATACACTAGAGCACCGACCCTCAGTCTCCGGCAAAAGGCCGCGTCCGTTAAACTCATCAGAGGTTGATGATTTTGTCCTGACACATGGAGGTAAAGATACGCCAACAGAACACCATTCTGCCAACCCATCCCAGCCTCAAGATCAAGACAGTCCAGTGACAGAAAGCCCGAACCCGCAAGACCAACCCATTCTTACTGTCGCACCTTACCTCCAGTCAACCTTCGCAACACAAACCCCATTCGGCTCGGCTCGGCTCGGCTCGGCTCACCCCCACGGGTTGAACGGTCAAACCCAACAAACCAAAACACTCGAGCCCATCCATCCTAACAGACTGAGTGACTACCAGACGACTCTACTGACCATTCATGTAGGGCAAAACACCAGAACTGTTACCATGGGAGTCATCCAACTAGAAGGAATGAATGAAGATCCAGGCTACCAAGGTGTGCACGAAGCAATGAATCACCAAATCACACCGCGCGGGACAGTCCAACGAAATGTGCCGAAGACAATTGCAAAGGCCGACCCGGTCATGCGAGATGACCTAGTGGCGTCCCCTTCTCCTATGGAATAGGTACTAGCCAAGAGATTGGCCGATGTGGAAGCAGTGATGAGACGTATCCCAAGAATGCCGGTCCCAACCAAGAAGAGTAGGCCCCACTGTTACGCGGATTCACCCTTTGTGGATGAGATTGCCCTAGCCGACATGCCTCAGAAGTTTACCATCCCTAACATGAAACTGTATGACAACACAACTAACCTGGACGATCACATAGCCTCATACAAGCAGCGGATGTTCACCGTCTCAATACCCCGACCGCTGAGGGAAGCCTGCATGTGCAAAAGTTTCGGTTCGAGCTTATCCGGCCTGGCACTCCAATGGTACACGAATCTCTCGAACGGATCCATCGACTCATTTGCCCAACTCACCGATACCTTTGTGGAATAGTTTGCCGGCAGCAAGAAACTCAAGAAGCTGTCGACCGACCTATATAGGGTATACCAAAGAAGGGGCGAGCCACTGAGAGAGTATGTCAGCAAGTTCAACAAAGAGAAGATCTCCATCCTTGCATGTAACCCTGAGACAGTCGTGGGTGCCTTCAGGAAGGGTCTCCTCCCGGACGGAGAACTATACAAAGAGCTTACAAAGCTAGGTTGCACCACAATGGAAGACGCCTTGGCCCGGGCGGTGATCCAAATAAGATGGGAGGAGGATGAGATAAACTGGATGATTCACTCCAGATATGATTCAAGGCGGAATGACAGGAAGCAAGAGCACAGGCCAGCGGAGCACCGCTACCAACCCCCAGCACGTAATTCGAGCATAGTCAAGATACCGTATGATCGCCAGTCGATGAGAACCAAAAGCAGAAACTTTGGATCGAACCGATACAAAATACCGGAATACAGCCTCAATGTCGAACCAACCCAGGTCGTCGCGATTATGAAGGGAATGGGATCCATTGTTAAATGGTCAAGTAAGCTTAATTCCGAGGCAAGGAGAGACAAGACCCAATGGTGTGAGTTCCATGGCGATCATGGGCATAACACCACAGACTGCATCGCCTTACGGCTAGATGTTGCTGTACTTCTAAAGAGAGGACATCTCCGGGATCTGCTAACTGATAAGGGGAAGAACACCGTTAGCCATAAAAGTTCAAAAGAACAATCACCACCTCCGCAAGAACCTACACCAAAAGGATTTTGTTCGCTCATCTCCAGAGGATCAGAGATCAGTGGGGTAAGTTACTCATCAGCCAATCGATACGCCAAAGCCAACCACCACCATGAAGTCCAGTCCATCCATCCGGTCTTACGGTCAAAGACCCATCAGGTAATTCAATTTGAAGATGACGAGCCAGTCACCTTGGCCGCTCCTCATCACGATGCTCTAGTCGTCTCCCTACAGATCGCCAACATCCTAGTGAAAAGAGTATTCGTAGATGGAGGCTCTTCAGCAAACATCCTATTCCTTGAAGCAGTGAAGGCTATGGGACTGGAAGAGGCAAACATCAACAGGCGGCCGACGCTGCTAGTTGCTTTCAGCTCTGAGCAGAAGTATACTATTGGGGATATCATGTTAGTGTATATTAGTGTATGCCCTAGAAACCATTCGTGTTGTCGGTTTCAGAGCATTTTGTCTTATATCTATATATATCATAAATAATAGAAGAAAGAGTTCTTCAATTCATATATGTAAATTGCTTCCTTTATTCAATCATGCATTTAAAATAAAGTATGTATATGAATTGTCCAAATGATTCATTTAATAGGTAAATGAATTATCGAAAAGGGTTCCCTACGGAAGCAATATAAATTTGGACAACTATATTGTACAGTAGGTATACCGGATGCTTCCGAAAGATATCATGAGTTGATATAAGTACGGATGACGATGATAGTCATGTCACTGGGGCATTGGTATGGATTAACGGTTGGTGAACTGTTTTTCGAACGTGACCGAATAACGACAAATCACTTGGAAAAGCATGTAGTCAATGATTTATCGTTTGGTTATATCAGTGCACGATGTAGTCCTTTGACCTGAGACATTGTAGTCGGATCCGATATGGATGCGTATGGTTCATACGGTGTATAAGTACGAGACTAATCATGTTTCGTACAATAAAGCCTATTTGGTCATGCGTTGTTCATATGCGGAAA